AGATTCTGTGGTTCTTATCGCTTGTAAATGGATGATGTGTAAATGATGTATTATGTGTTAGGGCGAGGAATCACAGGGTCACTCACGGTTCGATACGATACTCGATACACGGCTCACGATACGATGTTATAATCCACATGATAATCGATATATTGTTCATGAAACTCTGTGGTATATTGTTGCTTTAAAAAAAAAAAAAAATCATTTAATCAACAATATTTCTAAGCATATTTACAATGAGTGCGTATACATGCACATCAGTATCCTGGTTATGATCGGGTTTTTTGAGTATCCCAGTTTCTTCATGGTGCATGTAAACGCAGTACCCCAGTTTCAGTAACCCGGTTATGGCAGTATCCCGGTTATCAGAAACCGGGTTGCTGTAGCTGGTTTATTCCGATAGTAACCGGGATACTGGTGCATGTATATGCAGTATCCCGGTTACTGCAACGTAAAGTTAAGTGCCAAAGTTAAGTGTGTCCAAAAGACACTTTCCAGTCTTTTCACCTCAACCAGTGTTGGGAAGGTTACTTTTAAAATGTATTCCCCTACAGATTATAGATTACATACCCCAAAATGTAGTTTGTAACATAATCCATTAAATTACTTAAAGTGAGTAACGTAATCTGATTACTTTGGATTACTTAATATTGTCATGCCTTTTAAAACTACATGAATGTAGAAACCACATCCTGAAAATTCTTGTTTGTTCTTTTCAAATTGTCTGTTGAGCCCAAGTCTCCATGAATAAGCAACTGTTTACTGTAGAGAAACAAAGACCAGGAAATCTTAACATAAATTTTGTCTGCTAAAAGAGAATAAAAAGCCCAGTCTTTCCATAACCATATTAAAAATATTATTGATAGAGAAATTATTCTTATATGAGATCACCTTAAATTATGTCCAACCTACTATTAGGTATCATTGTTTATGGTTTAGTCCTGGTTTTAGTCCTGGTGTTAGTTCTCGTTTAGAGGCGCACAGGAGGAAGCGCGGTCTACACAGTGTACGCGAGAAAACACGGTCCACACTCGGCGCGCTGGAGAATGACGGTGGTCCGCGCGTTCTCAGGTTGATGACGATGATGAAGCTGTGTGTTTGTGTTTGTGTGTGTTTGTGTGCATGTCCCCTCATGTGGCAGGTCACTATAGGACAGTAGTGCAGACATCATGAGTCTATGCAGTTTGTTTTCATCAGTGCCAGTAGCTCCGGTTTGACATTTAAGTTGTAGGCGATTTTATATTTGTTATTTTTTTTTATATCTCATGTCGGGAGAAGAATTTCTAAGACACAAATGTGTTTTTACCTGTGCACTGCTGCCTCTGTTCTACTGGCTCTTAGACCTTGTCCATTGTGTGACTGACGCCGCCAACGTTAACATGACGTTTACATCGCTCTTACTGACACGTTCTGTGTGGGTTTTCGGCAATGAGTGGAATTACCGAAATAAAAAATAAATAAATGGGATGTAGCACAAAATGTGAAAACAGGAAAATACCGCCTTGTAATCCACTTATTTCAGCAAAGTAACTGTAATCCAATTACCACTCATTGAAACAGTAACTGTAACTGAATACAGTTACTCATAATTTGTACTCTGATTACGTAACGGCGGTACATGTAATCTGTTACTCCCCAACACTGACCACAACAGTAGCGACATAAAGTGACCAACATAAATAAAGTGACCAACATAAATAAAGTGACCTTATATGAGTGAAATAACTGTAAAATAAAGAGCTACGCTAAACCTGCACACGTACAATCTGCACTCGTGTGATCGCTGAAAAGCTAAAACATGAACTATCTCCTATACGATATACACACTTACCATCATTAGCACCTCCTCTGTCACAGAAAGAACACACATAATCCACTGAGTCGTGTCCTTTAGTCCAAAAGAAGCTGAATCGCATCAGCGACACAAGGAGCGAACTCTTTTTATCACTGCTAACAGTTTATGCTAATTAGCGATGCGGTCTTAAGTTTTGTTTCTGTAAAACGTAAACAAAGCTGAATTATATTATCAAACGGACTGGTGTGGCTCTATAGTAGTTATGGTTTATATATTGTAAAGTTGAGTTTATTTATGCAGAAGATTTAATGTGGGATTTAATTGTGGGAGATCTCGTAGCTCCTCACCTCTGGTTAAACCTCCCGAGCTTCCTCTGCTAAAGGAGCTCACGGTTTGTATTTTTCCTTGTTTAATAAATTGATTTAAGTACATTTTTGCACTTGCGCATTTGTAAGATTATGTCAAGAAACCGGGATACTCCATTTGATCATGTATATGCGAATATGAGTATCCCGGTTTCTCAGTGCGCATGTATACGCAGTAACCCGAATACTGACATAACCGGGATATGGCTAATAACTGGGTTACTGATGTGCATGTATATGCACTCAATGAGTTTTTCTCTCAGACTCAACACTGACACTCTGTTCCACCTTGTGATGTCATGTGGTAATACAGGAAGTGCTCCATTGTGTTTAATAAACTCCATACACCTTCACTAGAATCATTTGGATCATTTCAGTCCAAGAATTTCCAACTCTACTGAACAAAATGTAAAAGGTCATTGTTAACTTCATGACATCACAAGGTGGAACAGAGCATTCTGAGTTTGGGAGAGGTAGGCAGACTAATAATAAAGGATTACCCAAACATCCAGGTCTACCATGTTGATGTAACTGTACCTATATATATGATGCAAGACCCTTAGACGGCATAAAATAATGCCAAACTTTGATCCACTTTCACGATGAGGACTTCTACTTTCACACTCTGTAGTTTCAACGTTAAAGGGCCCATGTTACGCAATTTTCTGATCTGTTTTAATGTTGTTTCCTCATCAAAAACAGACCCGGAGTTTTTGTTTGTTGTGTTTAACACACAAACCCTGCACATTAAGTTTTTCTCTTGTGTTTTTAAACTCCACACACCTTCACTAGAATCATTTGGATAATTTCAGCTTTGGAATTTTCTATCGCTACTAAACGAAAGGTAAAAGGAGCTGTTAACTTGAAAACTACTGCTTCATGACATTACAAGGTGGAATAACATTTGAGATTTGGAGATGTACAAACAAATAGAAACTGTAAACAAGTATGTGTGTTTCAAAGTTTATGTTATTAGGTTCTTTTTTCAGACCAAGAGTTTGTTTGTAGTTTTCTTCCTCATAGTGGTCGCCTGAGTCTGAGGAAGATCACAGGGAGCAGTCAAAACTGTGAGGTATGAAAACAAACTCTTGGTCTGAAAAAAGAACCTCATAACATGACAGAAAACATGACGGAAGACCAAATTAACCTCACTGGACTATGTGATTCAGAGTAGTTAGCACCTCTGATAAGACAGTGTCCACCAGCGTCTGACCAGAACTGAAGAAGCAGCTTGACAGAATCGAATTTCTCCTTTGCGCTGGAGATGTGGACAGACTAATAATAAAGGATTAATCAAACATGTGTAAATGAAACAGAACACATCTCCACAACTTGGCCAACGATACTGTATCACCAAATCCCTTAACTGGTTTTAACTTGACTTTACTGTTTATTTATTTATATTTTATTAATTTATTTATTAGAATTATTATTAGAAAGAATGTTGATTGTTCTGTTAATTGATCTCTGTCTGCTTCACTGTGTTATTGTTCTTTCAGTGTACAGCACTTTGTAAACCGTGTTTTTAAAAGTGCTCCATAATTAAAGAGTTATTTATTTAAAGGCACATATTTCTAGTGGAGATCCCGCCATCTGCTTGTCTCCGTGGAAGTGTTATTGCTTTGTCGTGGTCAGCCCAATGGTCCCACAGCTCTGTGTTCCCTCATTTCTAAGGCTTGTCTTATTTCTAAGATTTTTCATAAAATTAAACTCAAGTCAAGTCATTTTTATTTTTATACTGCATTTAAAGGGAAATTCAGAGTCACACCAACCTAGGATCCTTTGCACCACGACCTCTACATTACATTAATTAATTAATTCATTCATTCATTACTTAATTAATCATTGTATTTATATAGCGCTTTTCAAGACACCCAAAGCACTTTACAGTTCATTATTCACTAATACTACTGCTACTGCTACTGTAGCCACAGCTGCCTTGGGACAAACTGACGGAAGTGCAGCTGCCAATTGGACCCCCGATCCACCACCAACACTCACACACCACTTTCTTACTAGGCAATGTGGGTGGCGTGTCTTGCCTAAGAACACAACAACAGTTTTTTTAGTTTGTTTTGTTTTTGTTTTTTTGTGACTGGGGCCCACTATGGCACCAGGCCTGGCCCTGCTTGGCTTCTGAAATCTGACGAGATCAAGGTTTGACAAGCCAATGTGGCCACATCTGTAGTCAGCTGCTGCTGGAGAATCGGTTGGGTGTAATTAATGACCAAATTGGGAAAAATAGGAATAAATTCTGATGCAAATTGATGATAAAGGAAATGTGGGAACACAGGGCCTAATTATTGGAAGAAAAAAACAACAACAACAACTTAGAAATGAGGGAACATAGGCATGCTCCTGCTTTGTCTAGAATGTTCCACGGTGTAGATTAAACTTATCTATCACGAGGGAGACAAGCAGGTTACAGCACTACGCCGCATTACAATTCAAATCTGTGGAGAGTCGCCCCTACTCACAGAACAAATGATAGATGCACAGTATATGTATAATGTCGCACCATGGGACATTTCAGGCACAGCAATAGCATCTCATCTAGTATCATGATGCATCAATATTAATCTTTTTGCAACGCCCTAATACATATAGAGGGCTTTTTTTTTTTTTTTTTTTTTTTTTTGAGCATGGAATTGGTGTTCTGAGTGCCATAATTTTATCCAACATCTGTGCCTCCTCTGAATCCTTCTAAACAGATCCGAGCACGTCCACCCCCTGTTTTCTCTGGCTAACTATCCCCAGTTAGTATTCACCACAGCGCCTGCCTGTATTGGCTTGGTCTGTATCCAGGATGAGAAAATAACGCCATTGTGCTGTTCCTGTAGGCGGTGACGGCTGCTTTGTAGTGGACAAGATGACGGGCCAGGTGGCGACCACGGGACTGGTGCTTCAGAGGGACAGGGAGTATGTGTTGAGCGTGGTGGCTCTTGACGGCATGGGGACCCGCAGTGCCCCCGCTATGCTCTCGGTGGTGGCAGGGGCCCGGGCGCCGCAGTTCAGCAACACCAGCTATGTCATCGCCATCCCGGAAAACACGCCTGAAGGACAACCGTGAGTCCCACACAAACACTCCAAACAGCACGCCCAAATATGTCTCTGTGTGTGTAAGTGTCCAAGGAAATGTGACAGCGCTGGCTTAATAAACGGGAAAATGTCTACAGTTAATTTCTACAGTAAATAGTCACATTGTTTTGTTTTAACCATAGACTGTATATATCAGGGGTCGGCAACCTTAAATTACAGTGGTCGGCAAGTGCGTTTTACATTTCACAACACACATTAACAAGTTTGAAAACAAAATTACATTTAAAATACACTTTTACATCTTGAAAACAAATTTACCATTTCATAAACCACATTTGCCACTGTGCAAATAAATTTACAAAAAACAAAACATTTGTACAAGCGGCGCATGTGGCAAAAACACAAATACAAACCATTTAAATACAAAGACCTTTTTCTCAACGGCCAGAAGTGTCGTGATGTAGGGTAAACGTAACTTCCAGTTAATGCTTTTCTGTGGCAAAATATCTGTGGAAATGTCTTGCGTATTTTCCACCACCTTCATAAATCTGCCCCATCACCAAATCTTCAACAAGATCTGCAAAGAACATACTCTGTCCATGAAAAATTTATCCACACAAGGTATCAAGATAAGAAAAACGAAAGCTTAAAGGCAAACGACGAAGCATTATTGAACTAACATTATCATTTCCACTTTTTAGGACGTTCCAACTTTGTTCATTTGTTTCAGGGGTTTGTATTTGTGTTTTTGCCACGTGTAAATTTGTCTCAGCACTTGTACAAATGTTTTGTGTTTGGTAAATGTGTTTTATGAAACTTGGAATGTGTTTTCAAGATGTAAATGTGTATTTTAAATCTAATTTTGTTTTCAAACTTGTTAATGTGTGTTGTGAAATGTAAAAGTGTTTTGCACTTGCCGGCCACCGTATTAAATACTCAAAGAGCCATTTGGAGCGTCTCCCACAGAAAAGAAAACACCAGGAGCCACAAAACCCTTTTGAGTCTAAAACACTACATATCACTTTTTTACCTGTATGCTCTTGGTAAAAGACTATAGTGTGTTGCATTTATGAAAACAATGAAATGCTACAGAGAATATATGTCCGTACATATATATGGTCTATGCATACGACCTGCAGACATATAATCTTTGAAAAGTTTAACATGAACCATCTCCAACGCGACAGAAGCACAGAACAGACTCACCATCAGCAGAACATCCTCTGTCACAGAAAGAAAACTCATACTCCATGAATTTATGGCTAATTTGCATAAACTATAAGCGCTTTTTGTGTCGCTGATGCAGTCCGACAGAAGTTAACTGCATCAGTGACACAAAGAGTGCTTATAGTTTATGCAAATTAGCCATGTGGTTTTAAGTTTAAGTAACTGTAAAACGTAAACAAATGTGCACAAAGTTGCATTAAACACATTATTACTCAATGTCTATTTGAGTTCCCCTCATAGGACATAAAAATCCAAACTAAATTATTCACCCGCAGCAAACCAAAACTGCCGTCTGCTTCTGTGTTCCAGCATCATTTAATTGCGTGTAGTTCCACATGTTCTAGTCTTATCAGCCGTGAAAGTCAATGAATCTGCCCACGTAGCATTAAACGTTCTGTTTTCTTCAGAAACTTTTCTTTGGATTTATCCATCATTTACGTACCAGGGGTCGAAAAGCTCAATAAATCATGGTGCTGGTGTAGGACCTGGTAAATCCAGGTTGCCAGATCTGTGCCGGGTATCGCACATCGGTGGCTTTGACGCATATTTTCAGCGACAAAAATATTAAAAACATTTTATTTGAATATTACAGGATGACCATTGTCTACAAATGTAGAATTACATTTAAAAATGAACAAACTGAAATAAAAGTACATTGTAATTAAATACTCATTATTTATTTTCCAAGTCACAGGGAACCACAACAAAAGGATAAAAGAGCCGCATGTGGCTCCAGAGCCGCAGGTTGCCGACCCCTGGTATACAGTGTATAAAAAGACATCGCTAACCCGCTACGTTCCAAAAAAGTCAGCATGGGGGCGCTTCCCAGCTCCATCGACTCTGGCTTGACTCCTGGTGTTTTTATTTCACTATTTTGTCCATAAACAAATTCCTATAATATGGAACTCGGCTCCAAATTCACCTTTATAACTGCCAGCCTCGTTGAGCTTCATTTGACTGCAGCTGTCACACTTCCTTTGTCCTTTTTTTATACAGTCTCTGGTTTTAACTGTGTTGAACTCAGAAAAATAGTTACTTGTGGGAGAGTTTATATGGATTATTGAAAGTAAAAAAGGTCAGTGTGATGTAAATGTTAAAAAAGTTGCTTAGTATACTCATTTTGTAATAAACAACAAGCATATTTTGGTTGAAATTTTTAGCATTTTCCATTTAAGGTCTCGAGTAACCTTTAGATAAGGGTAGATAGAATCATGTTTAAAGTAACACCGGCTATGTCATCGCCATCCCAGAAAACACGCCTGAAGGACAACTGTGAGTCCCACACAAACACTCAAAACAGCACACGCAAATATGTCTCTGTGTGTGTAAGTGTCCAAGGAAATGTGACAGCTTTGGCTTAGTAAGCAGGGGAAAAATGTCTACAGTTAATTTCTACTGTAAAGGGTCACATTGTTGTTTTAATTTGCGTTAACTTAAGCTTTCAAAAGCTCTGAAACAACTGTATTCTAAATCTGTTTCTCAGGCTCCGTCCACACTAGTACGTATTCGAGTTGTTTTGTTATGAATGCAGTGTTCGTCCACACTAATCCGATTGAAAACGGCTCCAGAGACGGAACGATCTGGTGCCGCCAGCTCCCACGAATTCAGTTGAGTACGGATCTGATCAGGCACAGTGTGGACGCCTGAAAACTCTGATACGCTGATGTAGGTCTATGCGCCACGAAGTAATTCACCGCCAAAACACTAAGAGGCTAGAATATATGTCCATTAGAGATGCACGGATGGGCTATTTTTTTTAAAACTCATCATCCGCCCGCGTCCATTTTGCACGAAGGTTTTCAAAACCGCAACCCGCCACGATTGATTTTAGATTTTAGAACAATCATACAGCAAACAAACTAAGGAGCCTCGATAAAAATGCAAACTATAGCTCATTCATTCCAAAATTCGCTCAGCGTGTATGTTCGCATTCTTAATTGTCCGTAACAACCCCAGACTTACCTGGTTTTCTTGCGCAGCTAATTAATTGACAACATTTTTCAACTAGGTTATTTTTGAACCTTCTTGCCTTCGTGTTGGATGTTGTTACATTCTGAATATTCTGCCATTGCCCGATGTTATTTCAAAGTCATAGCCTCACTCCATCGGTCTTTCTTTAAGTTTAAATACCCGAGTGGCAGTCTACGCTATAAAGTCTGCGTGTTTTAAAATATATCTGATATCGAAACAAACAAAAAAAAGCATAACTAAATAAATATGGCCCTATGCCACTTACGTGTTGGCAAACGCTGAAATAAATTGAAATAATAAATAAACTGCATATAATATGGCCTCATAAACCTTAGGCATCAATAACCCGACACAACCTTAAACTTCGAACATAAAAACCACTAATTAAGGATAAGTAACTTCAACTACAAGCATAGACAATGAGACTCGCTTTTCAGATGTAGGTAATAATACTAACACTTTTTTTTTTTTTTTTTTTTTTTTTTAGTAGTTAAACCGCCACCCGCCCGAATTTAATTAAAATATAGTCAATATATGCATCTCATGTTCATTCATATATACGATCTGTGCGTACGACCTGCAGACGTATAATCTCTGAAAAGTTTAACATGAACCATCTCCAACGTGATAGAAGCACAGAACAGACTCACCATCAGCAGAACACCCCTCTGTCGTGTTTCTGTCGTGTCCTTTAGTCCGACAGAAGCTGAACCGCATCAGCGCACAATAGCTGAGAGCTGTTTTTTGATCTCTTAGTTTATGCAAATTAGCCATGTGGTTTTACGTTTCGTTTCTGTAAAACGTAAACAAATATGCTCAAAGCTGTGTGGATAGGGAAGGCTTGCGGACACAGAAACGACGTGTCTGGACGCAGATCGTTTCGGATACAGTGATACGGTGATATACGGATTCGTTTAAGTGTAATCGTAGTCTCATTTAGACGTTCCTATTTACCCGGGACAGTCCCAGTTTTGAGTCCTGTGTCCCCTGTCCCAGCAGATTTATTCAAAACCACTGATTTGTCCCAGTTTTATATAAGAAATGTCCCAGGTGTTGCTATTTTTGAGCATTCGGATCCCTGCCAACACCAAAGAGAGGCATAAATTGTCACTTGTTTAGGTAAAATACAGAAAAGCTGCTTAAAAATGAACAAAACACAAAGAAAATGTGACTATACCGACTCACATTAGTGCCGACTACAGAACAGTTTTACATAATTTCACACTCGTTTCACAATTTTATTATTACCAACCACCCCAAACCAGGGATGCCCCAGTTTGAAAATCTGGTCACCCCAGTCACAGCAAATAATCACCGGTGCCACTGCAAAGATTACATTCTACTATGTAAACAAGCACTGCTCTGACATCCTTTGTGAACTCTTAAAACCTTTAAAAGAGCTATATATTTTCATAGTTCATGTGACAGTCAGATCTGATTAAATCTGAGCTTAATGTGCTTCTTTACGGTCACCTCTCTGCTCAGGGCTCAGTGCTCAGCTCACAGGCGAGTTGTGAGCGTCAAATAAGATGCAGTGCGGTTACAGCGGTATCGGCTCTTGGTATCAGCAGCACATTGATGAGTACTGGGAGTATGGGAGCCCAAATTATCAATGACACAACTTTTTACGTCAAACTCAAGTTTCTCTATCACTGCAAAGGTGATAGAGAGGAAGGTTCGTCAAATGCTTTTCTCCATGGAGTGTTTCTTCATGGAGTTAGGCTGGCTGGCGCCACCTAATCCCTCCTCTCAATTTCATTTCTCTCAAGCAACTAGGTCAGAAATCGGAATACACTAGAACCCCGGAAGTGCAAGTTCGGGCACCAGCC